GCCAAGGTCTTCTCAGCAACGGAGAGCTGCCAAACTCTACCACCGTGGCAGCGATTGGCCTGTTTTTGCCCAGGAACATGGCAATTCATTCCAGCAACCAGTACAGTGGGCCCAAAATAGGCAGTTTAGCCACTCAGATGACCAGCTGCACTGTTAGCACTTGTCAAAAGTGGGTGCCGATGGTCCCAGAGAGGCCTCCACGCCTGTTCTAACCGGGGGACACACAGGAAGGGTCCCCTGCCCGTTCAGTGCAAGCACACGTGATGGACGGGAAAGGCTGAGCTGCTGCGCGAGGGATCGCTATGCTCAGTCGTGTCTCTGATGCAGGACACGGCCGAGTACTGGCATTAATGAGTCACCACAGTGCATCCGGAGGATCCTCCTTTGAACCCTCCTGGCCATTTCCTTGGAGAGGGAGCACCACCTGAGCTGCTATATCCCCTCTTGCAGCAGGGAAAGCAAAGCTTCACGGTGACTATGCTGAGAATAGCACAGGGCCCGATTCTCCTTGTCCTGACTCGTGCCCAGGACGCTGTGTAGACTGGTGTAACGGCACTGGCTCCTAACCTGCCATGGCGCAGGGAAGCAGGCACGTGGTCTAAATCCTTCCCAGTATTTCATTTCCCCGAGATCCCACTGCTGCTTTTCCGCAGAAGCAATCTCAGGTCCTTTTACCAGGCAGTAACATGATCCCCCTGCTCAGGCTATAATAGACCATGGAAACAAGGCTTGTGCCTCACCAGGTCCTCCCAGAGCACCACAGAAAAAAAAAAAATATGTAACGTAATATGCCGTGGGATGGGCAGCCTGTACTTTTAAGACAGCAAAATCCAGGCCTGTGTTTTTGGGATCATTCAGCTTTGCCCTGCCTTGTCCCTGCCTGGGCCCCTGGGGGCAGGGGATGGATTCTGTCTCTTTTTGCTAATCTTTGGTGATTTGCAGTCCTCTGCATTGATCCCCGCTGGCTTCCTGGGGAAAGTCAACTCCCCTTGGACATTTGCTTCCAAAATGCCTCCCCGACCCCAGCTCTTCCTTTGGGAGTTTGACCAGCTGCAAACGCCCCGCTAACCACACCACCTTCTCCCTTGCTTCCCATGACACGGCGGGAACAACAACATCAAAGCCGTTCCTCGGGGAACCGAGGGGTGGGGTGACGTGGAGGAGAGGTTTGCTTGTGCCTTGGAAATAATGCATGCGCTTGTGCTCAGATGTCTGAAAATGCCGCAAACTCATTCATGTGAGGAGCAGGTTTGCCAAACCTGCTGCTGCTCTATTAACGCCTCTTCCCAGAAGGCAGGCATGCCGCAGCCTCCCCTTCCCTGGGAATTGTCATTTTTCCTGTGGTTTAGGCTTCATTTCCTCTGCTCCCCGAGGACTTTTGCTCAACGCCTTGCTAAGTTTTGGGGACAGATCCAGCCAGGGAGACCCAACCTGGATCCTAGCAGCACAGGGGACCTCACAGGAGCCTGCGGGGGCATCTTCAGGGCCAACGCAGAAGCAGGGGCTCTGCCTGGGTCTCCCGTGTGGCCCAGCTCCAGCATTAGGTGTAAACAGGGGCAGCAGCATGGGCAGCCCGGCTGGCATGGCCTGTGAGAACAGGACCCAACGCCTGCCCAGGGGCCTGCTGGGCTGGCAGCGCAGCCTGGGAGCTGGGGCAGACCCAGCGGGAGAGCTGAGTGTTTAGAGAGAGAAGAGCAGCATGTGCTTCCCACCGGGAGAGCTGTCCAGACCAAATGGGTCACAGACATCTGTCCTGTCATGGTGCCACTTGCCCGCGGGGAAGGGGAGCACATGGCTGGTCCCTGCAAACGGGAACGCAGCCAGCATGCCCTACTGAGCAAAGGGAAGCTCTGAGCACAGTGATCCTGCAGAGGATGTGGCCGTGGCGGGGGCCGGTGCCCCTTCTCAGGGGAGGGGAGGGATTGGGCTGGGGGGAAAGAGGGGCTTGCAGAGGCAAAACAGGGAGAGGAACAGCACCTACCATGTTGAGCAGGACATGCCAATGATTTATGGAGCATAGCCTCAGCCCCATTCCCTGTCCTCTCTCCCCACCCTTCTGCGCGCTCCTAAGCAGCTAACCTGCCTGTACAACCTGCCACAAAGCAGCCAGGCAAACATCTGCACACTTGTGACAGACACCTGAGCTGCAAGAGAGAGATCCCTTCCCTCCATTCATTCGGCCTGTGATTTCCCCACAGCAGCCTGCGTGCGGCAGAGGTCTGGCACAGAGCTCCCTGGGATGGGAGGTTGCAGGGACATTGCCAAGCCGGGCAGCAGGAGGCAGCGCTGCCTGGGTTTTTCACTGCCCGGGTACCTGGGGCAACTAACAGTCCGTTCTCTGCCAGCTGTTTGCTCAGCACCAATTTATTCCACGCTGGGAAAAAAGCAGAAGCAAGCAGCTGAGCTCCTGCTCTTAGCCCAGAATGGATTTCTGCTGCATGGCTCGTTCTCTGTTGCCAGGGCTTGCAGATTAGCCTCTGCCAGTCCTCGCTGGATGCCAGTGTGGTTTCGCCAAGGCCTGGCCCCTCTCTCAGACTGTGCCCATTCGTGGCTGTGGGTTTAATTGACCTCCCTCTCCCACTGCCTGCTCATGCCAGCTGCTATCGCACTGCAAACAACTCATCCCTGCACCCAGACGCTGGAGACAACACGGGGGGCTTGGCTGGCAGGCTCCCAGCGCTCTCGACTTAAGTTAAATCCGTCTCACACCGCAAATTAAATGTGTCTGTTGAGTTCATCTTAAATTATAGTGCAGAACACTCCATATAATTAGGTGCCTCGCTCCAAATGCGTATCCTCCGGGGTGTGTGGGGGGTGGGGAACAATGCATTTCCTGCCCTTTGGCATAAATCACCTATACATGTCCTCCTCCCTTGGCATGCCCTGCCCCAGAAACCTGCTGGGGGAGGTCTCACAAGGCCAAGGGCACCTGCAAAGAGCACCTCCCCCTACCCCTCTGAGCGGCAGGTGGCTGCAGATCCATGCAGCCTAGCAGAGGGACACCCATATGCAGTAGCTCCTTTACCAACATGCCGGGGCCAGACTCTGGGCTCCTCTGTGGCTTGTTTCCTCATGGTCAGCCATGCAGCAGGCACGTGCAGGGAATGCTACCACCAGCATCTAGCCATCCTTTCCCAAGCACCATCCGTGCACAGTGCACACTAGATTGGGCAGGCGTGAGACAGCCCCTCCACTCCCCTGCATGCACTGAGGGCAGGGAAGCAGCAAATGCGGATGTGGCATTGCGTCCAGTGTATTTGTTAATACAGAAAATTAGCGTAAGCCTTTCTTCTAACGCGTATTAAAAACCTCATTTCTGTTTGCCAAAGATGGTTCCCTTTCACTGGACTTTTTTATTTTGAGGTAAGCTTTTCATTCTTAGGTGGGGGTAGGTTTTGCTCTGCCTGTTCCCCTTTTGTCCAGGCTATATTTATTTAATTTAGTTAGCCAACTTCCCCATTGAAGTCAGGGACAGTATTTTTCCATCTGCTCCTTTTCACCAGATGCAAGTCTCGACCACAATTCATGCTAAGCATGCAGCTTGAGCTAAGACAAAGATTAAACCCAAGCCTGAAGGCCTCTGTGCTCACTGCCCACAGAGGTGCCCATCCCTGGGGCAGCTCGCCTCTGAGCTCTTAGTCTAAGCCTGGTGCAGAGGCAGGGAGACGTCTCTGCCCTGGCGACTCTTAATCCTGATTTTCCGAGTTCTCTCCACAGCTGTAAGTGCGAAAGACTCATTGTTATTCTCAGTTAAATCAGAGGTGCTGGGGGATATGATGTCAGTGCTCTCACTTCCCCCCGCCCAAAACCCAGCCTAGCAGGCTGCTGCCCTGACGTGATGCATGATGAGACCTGGTGCAAGCCCCTGCCTGGCCTCCACTGTCAGCTCTGACAAGATCACCAAGCAAGGTGATGCCGCAGCAAAAGCTTTTTGGCCTTCTGCTGACACTGCCAGCTGATGTGCCGCCTCTCTGCCCTCCCGGGGCACCAGTCACTCTCCTGCATTCGCTGTGTTTTGCAGAAATGATGACAAAGCCCTGGCAAAGGGCTGACAGGGGCTGACCAGGTAAGCAAGGCAGGTCCCTGCAGACTTCACCAGGAATCTGCTGCTCCACTTCAAAGAGCGCCGGTAGCTGAAGCAGGTTTTGGCTGGGTCTGGCCTGTTTCGTCATCCCAAACTGACTGCGTGAGCATGCCAGGAGTGGAGGGGCCATTTCTCATGGAAACCACAGGAATTGTTGTGAAGCAGCTGGAGCGCTGGATTCTCTTGCTGGAAAAGAGCAAGGGTTGCAGCAGGGGGCACGGGGCACGTGGAGCTCGGCCCCTGGGGGATCATCAAGCCTGGGCATGCCCAGCTCCGTTCCTAACATACCTGGTGCCAGAGAAGGTGCCAGGCAGTGGGGCAGACCAAGATCTTAGACTTACGCAGAGATCAGGTAGAGAGGAGATGGCACCACCATGCCCGGCCAGCCAGCTGGGCCACACAGCATCCTTGCTTGGGATGGACCATTGGGAAGAGAGTGCCGCTGTCCCAGTTGGGACCCTGGCCTGCTCAGATGAAGGCATGGCAGTGCTGTTACTGCTCGTCCTATGCCACACAGCAGTCTTCCAGCCTTTTCTTCATGGTTCAGCTCTGCCTTGGGCACAGCGGGCTCCCAGCCTCTGTGCCAGGTGTGGCACAGGTCACAGTCACACCTGAGGCAACCGCGGCCCTGTAATTGTGCATGTCAAAATCCCGGTGGAAGCAAAGACATCTGCAGCACCAGAGCAACGCTTGCTGCAGAGCCAAGGGCACTCGCTTTGGAGGCCCCAGGGCATCCCAC